TTTACAACTTAAAACATTATTTTAAAGTAGTTTTGTATGTAATTTTAAATAAAAGTGTTTGTTTGTTTTTAAATGGTTATATAAAGCTATCCAATTTCTATGCTCCCATTGTACCTCATTCTCTGGATTTGAACTTTGAACCTTCAGCACCGCGGCAGACTCATCCCTTCCCAGTTGAGTTATAGCGCTACTTTTGGAAAATGCTGTTGTCTCATGGAGGGAGGGTGAATTACTTCAGCCCAGCAAGTGCGCACACATGTTCTCCAGTCTCCTTCCTCCCTCATCACTTTTCTGGGCGGTAAGAGTTTCTGCTTTATATTGTTCCCAGAGGTGGGCTTCTGATATAATGTTCTGTATCTGAATGTTATCCAAAGAGCTCCACCTTGGTCTTTATCTCTTCCCCTTCAACCCACCAATTCCTTCAAACTTCTTTTAAGACTAAACTATATGATGAAAAAATGATTTGGACAGTGTGTTCCCAACTGTACTATATTTTCAAAAAGGATCTTATTTTGAGTATTTATGAGTTTTAGTTAAATAATTAGTGCATTAGTTAGAAAGCAGATGTCTTTGCTATCATAAACAATTGCATGCTGTACTGTTCTAAATAGAGGAGGAAATTCCCTGTTGTGGCTACAGGGTGACAGAGTTGTGGTGACAGAGTTCAAAATTACTTCATCCTGAAGATCATAAAACCCAGCAGACACATTAGTTTGATTGGTTAAGTATCTTCCCTTTACTGTAGTAGATACTGCCTATAATTTAGAGTTCTTCGATATCCTGTTTCATAGCATAGGGTATATATGGAGGCTGCACATAGGTTGATTAAGGTCTGTTTTCAAAGATATACCATGTCATACCACAACCAAGTCTTTGTTTTGTACAGCTGAATTTTACCTTTGAACATCTTCTGGAAGGTCTTTTGGTTGCTGTTTTGATTATCAATCTTGGAAAATGTTGTGCTAATTTGCTATTTTGCAAGCCATGTCTTCAGACCAACCAGAATAAGTCACTAGAAACAGCTGTGCACTCAAAAGTTTTATAAACAACTTTTGCCCCTGTTGGTCTTGAGCACAACAGTTGCACAAAGCCAAATTCAGCCCCAGTATTAGTAGGCAAATCTCCACTACAGGGATAAACTTAGAGTACAGTGAGCTCAATGGTGCCAACCTGCATGCTTGGCTAATTCATTGGAATATTATGCAGACCAGCTCCCTATGAATTTCAGTACTAGCCAGACACAGCAGTTGTTGTGGGGAGAGAGAAGAAGTCATACGATCTCAAAAGAGTATATTAAAGCATAATTCAGTGGTGCATTAAGCCATCTCAAACTATGACCTGCGTTTTAGTGTGGGGGAAAAATGTTTTCTTAGATATGGGTTCTCTGAAAAGTTAAGAGTAACAGCACTTGAAACGGAAGTGTCAACACTTCTCCATAGAGACCTATTATCCACAGAAGATTTGCTGTGTGAGGAATGCTTGGTGGTGAAAATAATCTTAACTCATGCCAGTTCAGTCCTGTGCAGAGGTGATGTTACAGATGTTGTGTGTGAAGAAATCCCCCCTCTCTCTGCCTCTCACTTGGATCATTCCAGGTGGATCTGTCTCTCTCACTATCTTTTTGGTTCAGGCTGGTCAATCAGGTGAACTGACCAGATAAATTCCTGAGGGGAGGGGGGAACACACTCTCCTGATGGCAGACATTTTGAAAGCAACAAGCAACATGCTTCCAGGCTGCTGTCTGGATGACTTCCTATAAGTAAAGACTTGGAAACTAGACAGGAGTTAGGATTTATGTCTAGGCCAGACATGTTTTTAAAAGGATGATTATGTCCAAGACTGTATAAGACTGTGATTGATTATGTTTGCTCAAAGTATATTCTGACTTTCTTGTTCTACCCTCCTTCCCTCTCTTCCTCACCCCCCCACTCCCGGCCCCCCATCAATAGAAGTATCAGGTTACAGCATGCCTTTACGTGGTACTGTGGAGACAGAGAGGTGAGCCTTTTTGCTCCCAGATTGGACAGTGGAGCTTGTCTGTTTTATGTTCCTCCAGTCCTACCTGAGGTTTGTGCTTCGGGTGCTTTGGGATGAATGAGGCACCCAGAAATATTACCTGTGGGCAGGCAACCCCAAGGTTTTCAGGATCTGTGTGCCTCAGGCTGCACAGAGCCCTAACAGAGACCAGTGCCTGGGTGGTGGCAGCGTTACCCCAGGCTTGCAGGTGTTCTTTGGGAAGCAGGACAGCCAGCTGTAGGCTCCCCGGGGGAGACTTCTGCAGCAAGGTTTTTGGGCCTGGCACAGTGAGGAAGGTGGCTCTGCTTGGTAGCAACCCCTACTATGCCTCCACAACATGCACCATTCTGTTAATTTAGATCCTTAGCTGTCTCACCATCTACTGCTAGATCAGCTGGAATTTTCAAGCTAGCAATCCTCAGATTTTTTACACAGTCTGAAGTTCTTTCGACTTGGGGAGGCATGTTTCACTTTTCCTTCATGCTTTTTCTGGTGGGATGGAGCGGATTGAGTGAGGCTAGCTCTTCTGCATTGAAGAGACCTTGTAATATCATTCATTTAAAAAAAAACACAAAACCTAATACTACAATTATAAGTAATATTTTATTGAAAACATTCCACCAGGCTTCATCTTTGGAAGATCATAGAAAAATAGGGCTGGAAGAAACCTCATGAGGATATCTAGTCCAACCCCATGCTCAAGGCAGGATCAGCCCTATATAAGCTATTCTGGACAAATGTTTGTCTAACCTGCAGTTAACAGCTTCTAAGACTGGAGATTCCCTGACCTTTTTAAGTAATCTATTCAGTGCTTAATTAGCTTCATAGTGAGGGCGTTCTTCCTAATATCCAACCTTTTTGGTCTTGATTTAAAACCATTACTCCTTGTCCTATCCTCTGCAGACAAGGAAACAAGTGCGTCACCACCCTCTTTATACTACCCTTCAGGTATTTGAAGACTGTCATTAAATCCCTCCCTCAGTCTTGTCTTCTGCAGATGATAACAAGCCCAGTTTTTCTGACCTTTTCTCATAAGTCATGTTTCTAATCCTTTGTACACTTTTGCTCTCTTCTGAACTCTCTAATTTGAACACAATTTTCTTGAAGCATGGTTCTCAAAATTGGACATAGAACTCCAGGTGAGGCCTCACTGGTGCCAAATAGATGGGAAGGATTGAATTATTTA